TGATGATGATGTTGTTGTTGTTGTTGATGATGATGATGATGATGACAATGTCAATGTCAATGATGATGATGATGACAATGTCAATGTCAATGTCAATGATGATGATGATGACAATGTCAATGATAATTACAATGTCGATGATGATTATGATGATTTCATTTGTTCTTTTATTCAAGAAAAGTTGGAGCAGTATTGAAAGGGGAACCTTCCTTTTGAAGGGGTCTAGAATGTGTGGTGGTAACTATGGCTTTCCATAGCACTGGTAGCAGTAATATCATAGTGGTGAAGTAAATGTATTCCATATAAAAAATCACAGAATCACAATGGTTCAGCATTGGATTCTGTGATTTCAATTGCAGAAAATAAAAAACCATTTGGGTTTCAAAATCTTTAAGTTGTTTTGACTGGAATAAATAGTAGTTCTGTTTTGGATTCTCCACCTATTTATTCCAGTCAAAACAACTTAAAGATTTTGAAACCCAGGCTATTTATTCCAGTAGGCGCACACTTTGAGAATTCAAAACCAAACTATTTATTCCAGTCATGCACCTCAAGAATTTTTAAACCAAACTATTTATTCCAGTCACRACACCTTCAAGATTTCAAACTGAACAATTTATTCCAGTCACGACACCCTGGAATTAACAAAACCAAGCAAAAAATAAAAACAACAAGAAGCAAGCTGAGGATTCCTTATACTGAAATTATTTCCAGTAATGACCACCACCATTATGGTAAGGAAATTTAAAAAAAATATAAAACGAAGGTACTAGTAGTGAGTCTGGTTGGGAATCCATGTTATCGTCACCATGTTATTTTCACTAGTAACAAAATGGTGATACAGACAGGTAGGGAATACGAAAATAGTATACAACCTTGAGGTGGGTCGAGAAACAGTTCTCGGACGTTGTTGTTCTTGTTGGCATCATGAAGAACCCCCAGCAGTAGTACTAGTAGTAGTACTACTACTAGAAGTAGTAGTAGTAGTACCATCTCAGGATAGTGGTGGCAGCACTACTACTAGTCTAGTAGTAGTACTAGTAGTAGCTAATAGTCATCCTAGTACTTGTTTTAATACGAGTAGTGGTACTAGTAGTAATGGAATGGGAAGAAAAAAGAAATTACTAGAACTGTTACTACTACTGCTACTAGTACTACTAGTAGTAGTATTCTGCAGAGGAGCAACAAAAAGAAGTTCTTGCATGCATAGTAGTACTAGTAGTACGAGGTCACAGTAGTAAGCGCACAATATTTTTTTGCGCAAGGCGAGACTGCTGCTTCAGTAGAGGTACTTGCATGAGGAATACGGGAGATTCATCTTTCAATTTTCAAATTTCAAATACTGCCGTAGTGAACAGCGGCAGGAGCTTCGTTTGAGATGACGATGCTGCTGGAAGTAATTCCGATTATTACTTGTGTCGCCTACGTACAAGTACGAGAGCTTTTATTAACGGCACGGTYTTAGGAATAATAATTCTTTTCACGGTACCAAAAGAGGCCATGTTAGGGCATGACTTTGAACCATACAAACGGTASGGACASGTTTTTCGACGCTCTCCATAAATGAAAAAAAGTGCATACCTACCTTATCATTTCTCGATGGCTTATATGGGTTGAGAATTCATATGTCATATTTTGTCATAAAAATAAGTATGTTAAAGACGCTGAATTGTWAAAAAAAATATGTCTTACGCGACGGACCGGTTCAGCAATGATKGTACTAGTTGTACCGTRRTATGAAGTAATWTTTTCGATCTCCATTTGAAATGCRTGCCGATTTATGAGCAAGCTCCGGTGAAATCAGAAACGCTTTTTGGATATCAAAATATCAATATTTCTCATAAGTAATGTACTATCAAAACTCCCAATATGCCGCTATGATTTCCTGTTCAAAAATTAGGAGCAACGCACTACTGAAGGTTCGCACCATGAATAGACACGTTCACAAGCTACATCACACCATAATAGTTATGAATAGCAGAAGTAATATATCTTGAATTAGCGATAAATAATGGAGAAGTGATTCCCCCAATGCATTTTCATAAGAAGTAATATCAAGGTCTTTATGACTCCATTCTGTAAGGCCCGTTGTTAGAAATAAAACCAAAACTGGACCAAACATACCGTTGGGTATTTTCTCACACTTTCAACGAATAWAAATTATCATAATCCCACACACTATCAASAAAAACCAAAAGGACAAACAACTTGCTTCTATCTTATTATAAATAATCGAAACTTACAACTACAATTGAAGAATAGATTGATCGAGTACAATGAATAATCTGACGATAACAATTCTTCGCACAATTGTTGCGTTATCCGTCTGCACCTCGGTAGCACAATCGAAGCCTAGAATTGTTGGAGGAACGCAGTCTGAASTTGGCAGCTTCCCCTATTTCGGTAAGAAATCTCTAAATTGAACCTTCAGTTTGCATTATCGTTTTCATATTCTTTTTACCTGTTCTAATCATGCGTGTTCTTTCTTTTTTWATYACTTTTCAAACCAATAGTCGAGATGGGCGGATGCGGTGGCGCCTTAATCGGCCCCGATGTTGTCCTGTTCGCAGCKCACTGTGGATCTTTAGAAAACCAAGAAATAAATATCGGTGCTTACGAAAGAAGAACTGCAACAAAATTAAAGAATGCTTCCCAATCACGGTTCTGCGAAGAGTATAAAGCTCATCCAAACTATGGCACCGGTGGTTCTTCAATCAACAACGACTTCGCTCTTTGCAAACTCGATARACCAGTCAATATTGACACAAGTTTTGTTCAATTGGAATTGGACGAAGGCGACGTTTCCCTTCAAAGCGGTGATAGTTTGATCGTCATGGGCTTGGGAGCGCTAAACGAAGGAGTTTCCGGACCGSAGTTCCTCCACGATGTGACCGTTCCCTTTGTCTCAAATGACGATTGCAATGCAGAAAGTTCCTACAAAGGCGGTGTGACAGATCAAATGCTCTGTGCCGGTTTCCCAGAGGGACAAAAGGATGCATGTCAGGGAGACTCGGGCGGTCCTCTTGTGAAGAGAATAGTTCAGAGCAACGGAACWTTCAAAGACTACCATGTCGGCGTCGTTTCATGGGGACATGGATGCGCCCAGGCCAACAAACCAGGAGTCTACGCGCGTACCAGCTCTGGTATCGACTTCATCAAAAATACAGCCTGCAACGACTTTAAAAGTACGGCAAACTTTTGCCATAACAGCAAATCGCTTCCCTCTCCACATTGTGATGTGGAACTGAAGRTTAGGCTTCAAACTGACGTTTATGGATTCGAGACGAGTTGGACGATAACGAATGACCGCCGACAGGAAGTCAAGGCAAGAAAATACTTACTGAAATTCCACGCCCATSAACACTCTGTCTGCTTAGAGAAAGGCACTTGTTATACGTTTGAGATCTCCGACGACTACGGCGATGGTATGTGCACCACCGATAATGGTTGTGGAGMTTACGAATTGAGCGTAAACGGCCAAACAATTCACGAGGGAGATGGAAAATTCGAAAAGAAGGAGACAAAGGACTTCTGCATTGATAGAAATGGAAATGCTGTCGAARCAGGYGACCCTACTCCAGCTCCCGTAACYCCCGTAACCCCCGTAACGCCCGTGMTTGMACCGTCTCCCAATGGAAATTGTGGTGGGAAAAGAAACAAACAATTCSAAGTGCAACTCAAAATCGACGATTTTGGAGGTGAAACTGGCTGGATCCTGAGCAAGATCAACCCCAACGAATTCGACCCTGAGACCTTTCATACCGGCATCTTTGTCGCCGAAAGTGACCCCGCTGGCTTCGAGGCCTTCGATATTGTTACGTTCCCTCGCGAYGATTCATTTTACTGTCTAGAACAAAATGCTTGCTATCTTTTCGAAGTCTTCGATGAATACGGCGATGGCCTAGTAGGAGGCGCATCAAAAGGTTTCTACAAGGGATTTTTAGGSGGGAAGTTAGTCTTCCAAGGCGCTGACTTCGAATACTACGAATGGAAGACGTTCTGTACAGGCAATGCCGAAATCTCGAGTATCACTGATGACGCACCAACACCTTCACCTACGAACCATGGGGATGATTGCGTMGACCGAAAGGGGAAGATCAAGGTTGGCAAGAAGAAAAGGAAATGCTCATGGGCTACTAACGGAAGTAAGAAGAAAAGGGTCAAGAAGTGCGAAAAGATAGTCGAAGGAGGGAAAAAGTTTCACGACCTCTGCCCGAAAACGTGCGGCAAGAAAGCCGGCATCGGGAAGTGCAAACATTTACAACGCTAASAAGGGGACAACAAAGAACATGTGATCAGTATGTACACTAATGCTAGAAAATAGACAATAGATTAAATCMGCAAGTATCATAGTATATGCATTATTTTGCACTAAATTCATAGCGTAGTTAAAGTTTTGAATTGATGCACCGATTGGTTGCATTATTCCGGAGTGGCCGCCGATCGGCGAGTAAACTGGTATTCGATTCCAAAGCGAAGGTGGGTTGGCTCCTGATTAACGTTACTGAGGTTTTCCTTGCGGATTAAATGACAAAATAATTTTAATGATGAATAGAAATCGCGACTTCATTGATACTCGTCTTAGGGAGCATTAAGTGGTGGATTCGTGATTCGGGAAGGAAGTTGAGAATGAGGGTGAGGTTTTAAGTGCCAAGTGTTTATTTTAATTTTAATTCATCTGCAACATGTCCAAATGCCGGTACCGGGTACACAGTACGTAACGAGCAAGGCACATTCTGAGTGGGGGCGAACGATACGGGCATAAAGCASGTCTCAATAATTATGAGTCCTGGTACTGTGCTTTGTAATGCAATCTTACTTCGATTACGGACGTTCACGCAACCAACTCGTTATTTTTTGTTGTCGAGTTCTTGAAAGCAGGGACATTTTTCGTAGCGCTTGATAAATAGTACTTCTAGTAGTAGTAGTACTACTACTACTATTACTGTGTACTAAAACTATCACTGGAACTACTACCAGTACTACTACTACTACTAGTTGTAGTAGAAAAAGAAGCAGTATTAGTAGTACTAGAGCTCCTAGTATGGTGACTGCAGTTGCAGACAATCATGCTTTCCATCAAGAAGAACAAGGAGTAGTAGGAGCACATTGCTGTAACCACTTCACGTCACACAAACAGGTTCTATGGTAGTATGTTGCTTTTCCTGGGTACATAAAATAATATTCGCGCTTGTATTTTGTGATGCTCGTATGCAAATATCTGGCTGTTTTCCTTGGAACATGTTCTCGAACCACTCATTTCTCATGTGGAATTCGATGCCCTTTCTCATGCTCGAAATCAATTCTTTTTCATAAAAAAATATTATCGTATTCGGAGACGAATTGTCTCAACCATTCAAAAGTACCATGTGTTGTCACAAAAATATTATTGCTACTTCACCAATCCATCTGGTTGGTTTCAAATTCCTCTTTCCTGATGCCAACTCTTTGGCGCCCAGAGACAATTTCTCTATTTCTATCGACAAATTTATTTCGCAATGAAGCTATTCTACTGTCTAACTGCAAGGGATGAAATTCTAAATGTTTCGTGCCGCTATTGTTGTTATTTTTGTATCCACTACGTTTCGTTATAATTAGTACCGTCTGGGATTTCATACAGCCCATATCTTTGACTTCAGTTCATTTAAGTCATCATTGTCCTCCCAGTATTTTTCTGATCAAAATTTTTCTCCATTTCGGGCAACTTTCTTTTTTATTAATTCTATCCTCCCTGTCATCTCCATTTTCTCTTCTGTATGCCACCCTTAGTGCTTGTTCAATCTCCGCTGAAGCCTCTTCCTTGGTTCATAGAAAACATCATCGTCAAGATCAGAATCAATGGATTCCATTGCAGAGTCTATTAGTAACACACAATCAACTGCTTCCACGGAGGGGTTGTACATAACTTGGTCATTGAGATTCTGCGGCATGTTGCTAGATGGTCTGTCCTGGGTATTAGTTAAAGAAAACTGCTGGCTAATGCTGATCTTTTCCTTAGAAGTTTTGAACAACAACGAACTGAAGTCATGGGTCCGGTCAATGACATAAACATAATATTTGAAGCAATCCTTGCTGAGATGAAGATGAGTGAGTACTAGCTTTGGTGACATGATAACACCGGATTTTTTTCATGTTTGGCACTGTAAAATATGGGACGTTGGTTTTTCTGATCTCTTGAGCCATGACAGTTTTGACAGAATACCTTTAGCTTAAGGGGGGGGGGGGCATGATAAAGAACAGAGTTGAGTTCCAAGCAGAGGATGAGTTTTTCATGCTTTGGAAGTAAAATTATGCTTGTTTCGGAAACATGTTCTGGATATATGAAGTTGTGAGGGAATTTTCCAAACAATAATCCAATCAGGAAAAACTAAGGGTTGACACTGAAACTTCGATGGTGTCAACCACGTGAAATGCGCAATACCGTAGATCCCGTTTGTGTGGCGCACTCCACCACTCATTCTTTGTTACTCCTCCAGCATAGAGGAGGGGAGGATGGAGGAGGGCTCCAAGAAAGCCACCACTTCTGGAGCTTGCTGGAAGTAATTCTTCTTAGCCTGCTGAAGACTGTCCTCCTCCTTCAAGAACAAGAACAAGAACAAGAACAAGAACAAGAACAAGAACAAGAACAAGAACAAGAACAAGAACAAGAACAAGAACAAGAACAAGAACAAGAAC